CATAAGATCTATGCTGATTCACAAAAATTTCTTCTCCAGCACTGTTTCCCTGTGTTTGGGCTTCCAGCAAGTTAAATTCTATCTCATCTTTGTTTAACCTTTGTGTTATTGCTCAGTCAGTGCTTGGGCACTCATTAGTGCCCCGGTAGGCATCTTGGTAACCTAACTAGTTCTGAGACTGCTTCCCTGGCTGTGTTCACCTGCAGCACCTCTTTGCTGATTCCACAGTAGCTACACAACTGAGCTACACAACTACTTCCTATTGGTTTCTGAGAAATGTTTTAATCTCAGCACCAGCAGCACATCCCAGCAGTCTGCAAGAGACTTATCTAACAAACTCCCACCAAATAGTTTCAGCTTCCCTTCCTTGCTACATGCATGGGATTCCCCAGCAGAAAGAAAACCTTTACTGTAGCCCCACTGATAGTGGTAGGACTGCCTTGCTTTAAATGCTGTAACAACTGTTAAAAGAAGGTTCCAGCAGCACAATATAGCTCACCTAAAGGAAAATACTAAGGTAAAACTGGCCTGTTTAAGCAACACAGGTCAGTATTCTGATTGACTAGTATGAAAACAAGCAGCAAGCACAAATCTCAGTGGAACATACTTTACAATCAAGAATTGAAAATTTTTCTCTCCCAAGAGTCAAAGATGGACATTTTCACTTCTTTTCATGATTTGGGTAACTCTGTAGAAGTGGAAGTCTCTATTGAGCCATGGGAACTTTGAAAGGGACACCAAATAATCAAGTCAGTGCTCAATGGAACAAGGTTTTTCCCACAAATAATGATTGATATCTGTGTCATTAGCAGGGTAGCTGCCCATCTCTTACCGTGATTGACAGGTTAATAAGGGACCTGGGGCTATCTTTTCACTGCTAACGCACAACCTAACCAATTGCTTTTAAATTATTGCTAATTCGACAGAATATAAGCAAAAGGCATAAAAATACCTGGAACAGAAAAACGTTTAATGTGGTTTTTTACTCTTTGCATTCTCAGTGATCCTATTTTAGAAAAGAAATTAGGATTTAGATTCCTTTTTTTTTTTTTTTTTTCTTTTTAAAGACACTCTGTTTTTTTAAAGAAAATCTTGCAGTTGTTCTTTGGTTCAATTAGGAGCAAAAGAGAAGGGAGTTTTGTAATGCAATTGTCCTGTAAAGGAAAATGTTTTAAATTGGGGAGATTATGTGAGCAGACCACCTGTAGGGCATTCATAGCTCTTTTCTATAATGCTCCAAGCCATGCCTTGCTGCCTGCAGTCTGGCTAACAATGCAGGGAAAAGCTGTTTAAAAGGCTGTTCTCCCTTTTCCCTCTGGTGTTCACTAACTGTTACAAGTCTTCCCCTTAAAATAAAGTAAAAAAAAAAAAAAAAAAAAAAAAAAAAGTCCCATGTCCCTTTAATTGAAGAACTTTAAGGCTCCATGGTGGCCAATTGGTCTGCAACAAGAGGAACCAGGCAGCAGGGAAAGAAACTTCAGACTATACATCACGTTTGGTGAAGAGAAAAGATCAAAGTTTTCCCAAACTCAAAAGAAACCAAGTTCCCTACAGATTAACCCTATTCATTTAGCTCCTCTTAAAGGAATGATGTTCTGAGCCACTGGGCAGACAGGTAAAAAGTTCAACAATTGCCAAAGCATTCTTCTGTTAATTCAACAGCCTTCTGCTCAAATAAATTAGCTTAGTCCTGACAGAAGAACAATGTCTTTTCTCTTGAAAAAGGACCATATTTGATATACAAAAGTTAAGTATGAAAGGTTAAGATGTTAGTTTAATCTGTTAAGGAGGGAGATCTAAGAAATTTCAAGTCACTGTTCTCCCGTAGTATGCGATGGATGAATTTAAAACATGAACCTTGTACACATGAGCGTGCATCCCTGCAAAGGCAGGTGCTTACAAAAGCACAGATATGAGGTGCGTGTCCACATTCTTGAAATAACACCCATTCTGTAAGGCTACTTAAGCCACGTAAGGACTTCAAAACAGATTTGGTTTGAAGACACTCATTGAAAACCAGGGAGCTGTGGTGAGGTACTCCTGGTTCTGGCAAACGCTTTTTAGAATCACTTGTTTTTTCTTATGCTGGGATATTCCACTCCCTTAACGTAGCTGGCCATCTATAACTCAGAAGGACTAGAGGAGCTCCCTCCTTCAGCCCTCTTGACCCAACCAGTGAGAACCACCCACAGACACAGCTGCTGCAATAACCAGAGCAGGAGTAGGGGAAAAGCTTGAAGAAGTCATTTATCAAAAGTCATTTTATTGACAAAATAGAATACTCATATTTGCTCTTACAGGGGTAGTCTCTAAACTTTTTTACAAAAAATTTACAGACTGTATAGCTTTGGATATATACATATTTTACACATCTGTACAAGGTAACAAATAATTATATAAATACATCCTTTAGTGTAGGAAACCCGTATTTAGCTGGGGTGTATAATTAAGACATGTTTTGATTCAGTCTGTGTTATAAGGCATTTGCCTGGTCATCGATATCCCAAAAACCTGTAGTTCCAGCAAACTTCCTCTTTGGGATGGGGGAGGAATTCTCTCCCTCCCACGAGCTGCTGATAGTCCAGAGTAAATCAGGAGCCGCTCTGCCTTGCCCTCTGCAAGACACGGGTGAGCCCCTGCCCTCCTCTGCCAGCAAAATAATATGCTGGCTCCTTGAAGTACATGCTCCCTGCATATGAATGGAAGGGAAGGAGAAGGGGGCTGGAGCCTGGGGCCTCTGCCAGCTGCATTGTTCTATACAAGCTGTGGCTAATAAGGACCATTAGTGGTTCATTAATGGCACCAAACAGTGAGGGGGCATTTCAGGCAGGCCAGTGTCCCTCACTCCCTAACCTATGGCCTCTTTTCCCGCTCCTCACACTTGAGACAGAGGCATCTGCTTGGGGTAGGAGACGGAGCTGGCAGTGCCAGACCTCCACGTCAGGCCGGTGCTGACATCGCTGTACAGGGAGCCGCCTCCACCGGCCCCAAGTCCTCCAGCAGCAGCGATGGCAGCCTGCCCGCCTGCTCCAGCTCCAGCAACCCCAGCCACGGCAGCACCTTTGCTGGCCCAGCAGCAGCGGGTGCACAGGGCCCTCCAGGACTCGAGGGTCTTGCCAGACCAGACCCAGACGCCGGAGGTGATGCCCACCACCAGGCACATGAAGTACTTGAGCATGAAGACGGCGTAGTCGGGTCGGCGGGCCTGGTCGGGCTGCTGGTCGCGCAGGCAGGGGCAGTTGTGCGTGGCCTCCCAGCGGGGTCGGTTGTGCTGCTCGTAAAAGAGGCAGGCGACCACGCTGGCGGCCGGCACAGTGTAAAGCACGGTGAAGAGGCCCAGGCGTATCATCAGCTTCTCCAGCTTGTGAGTCTTGGTGGGGCCGCCCTGCTGCTTGATGACGCTGCGGATGCGAAAGAGCGAGACGAAGCCGGCGAGCAGAAACATGGAGCCGATGGCCAGGTAGATGAGCAGCGGCGCCAGCACGAAGCCCCGCAGGTTCTCCAGGCTCTGGTTGCCCACGTAGCAGATGCCGGCCACCGGGTCGCCGTCCACGGAGCTGAGCGCCAGTACGGCGATGGACTTGACGCTGGGGAGCAGCCAGGCGGCCAGGTGGAAGTACTGCGCGTAGCCGGCGATGGCCTCGTTACCCCACTTCATGCCGGCGGCCAGGAACCAGGTGAGGGAGAGGATGACCCACCAGATGGAGCTGGCCATGCCGAAGAAGTAGACGAGTAGGAAGACCACGGTGCACAGCGCCGGCCCCGTGCTCTCGTAGCGCACGTGCTCGGCCACCGCCAGCTCGGGCTGCAGCTCGGCCGCGCCGCCCGCCGCCCCGCGCCCCCCC